TTGATATCGGAAACAAGAACACAGATCAGTTTTAACCATTGCTTCAACTCCTTTTAATATAGAGTTGTAGTAAGTATCCAATATTCGCTATATTTATATTAAACTTATTTTTAACTGTATTTATAAATTGGGGTTTTTTGTTTTCTTTTTGTATTCTATAGAAATAAATATATTTACTACATTTATATACCGATTATCGGTAATATAAGAGCTGCTTAGAACTCATTAACAATTTTAGGACATTATTTACTGAGACTAATGATAAGTTTAAGTACACACTTTCATTTGGTTAGTTTGAAAACAAAGAGACCTATTTACTAATATCAGAATAGTTAGACAAATGAAGAGATGAGTAGATAGATAGACAGACTGTCCGAGATACATAGGCAGATATCAGACGTAGATTAGTTACATCTGTTGGTCCTCGGACAGCAGATTCTCAAGAAGTTACATAGGTGTCTGTTTATAAAGAATTATAATTCCGATTTTACTTTGTTTGTAATACACAATATTTTGTTTTGATAGGCAGATAATGGGTTTATCATTTATTACATAATTTAGTGTACGCTGTATATATTTCCGAAGCGAATATATGCTTAATATGATGACATATTTTCCATTGAGTATCTTTTTATCCATTGGCAATTGAGTCAACTATTGAGATATAAGGGATTTGTTTTAATTAAATCTTTTCACGTAAACCTTGACTTATGTAGTTATAAAAAATCCCCCGTAAGTGAGTCTCTGTATACATCACTGCTCAATCCGTATACAGTAACGTATTATATACTACGAATAAAATCGTATATGATTAGTGCATTAGAAATAATCTATTGTACATTCTTCAATTTTAAAGATTTAATACATATGTTATTTCATACTCGTATTAAATTATATTAAGATTATCTCTAATTTATTGTTAAAAACCTGATCTGTTGATATAATTTCCATTCATTTAAACTATATTTTAATTACTGTAATTGTCAGAGGGCAAATTTTTTATTTCAATCGAGTAGAATGCAGATTT